AAATTAAAAAAAAAAAAAAAAAAAAAAAATCCAAGTTCATCTTTGTTCCATACCTACCACTTTAACATACCTACTACCTAAACCTCTCTTCCCTCTGCTCTGTTTCCTACCACCCCACATTTTCCTTTTCTTTTCATTGTTCTACAAACAGAGGAAAAAAGAACAAAAAAAAGAGTGAACAAACATCAATTCTGGTGACATCATGCTGTTCTGTCTAATCATTTGCTAGATTTCTCCCCCTTCTCCCTCCTTATTAGACAACCTGTATTTGAGGGAGTTCTTGCAGGCAGAAACCATTTGTAGGGTTATACAGGATCTAACACTGGGGGGTGGGGGGTAATCTTGGTTGGTCCCTAGGCACTACCGTGAAATAATTAAAAGTAATCTCCTGCAGGACATATCTTCCCAAATAGTATCCGTACTATTTATAGTATCAATTACCTAAAGTATGAAGGACAGTTACAAACCATATATTACAATAGCATGGCTGTGAGTGATTCTGCTAACAACCAGTCCTCTCCAGGCAGTTCACACCACATACACATCACATTTAGCACGGGAGAACATCTTAATTTTTAAGCCACCTCTGGATAATGTAGTATAAATAAAACTGCTGAACAGTTAAATTGCTTTTATCTAAAAAAACTACTCGATTTTTTTCTTTAAAAAAATTTTTTTCTTGAACTCCAGTGGGGGGAAAGGAGGGAGACCAGAAAACCTAAGTAAATTGTTACTCAGTTTGAAGGAGAGACTGATGATTTACTGCTGAGTCCTTGAAACTTTTTTTAAAGTTTGTATAGTACAGAAGCTACAAAGAAAAATGTTTTAGCCAGCTTACAGAGATGCATTAAAACATTTATCTGGCTCACTTGCAAAGAAGCCATGACACACAATTTCAAGCTCTGTATTTTTTCCTGTAGTAAAAAAAAGTCTATAGATATTCAAGTAAAGCCCTTCAACTACATAGCTAAGTCTTTCTTAATAGGGTACTTTAGATAGTCAAATCCAGTGACATAAAATTAAAATATCACTTACTTTAGCCTAACTTGTAGATTATTTGCAAGCTCTTGTTTGGCAGTGGTACATTTTTGCTTAATATCTAACAGTTTCCTGTGATTAGTTAACATAATCATCAGCTGATTTGCATGACTCAAACATAAGTCAGGTAGCACAGAAGGATCTTTCAAGTTCTCAGCTCTCTTCTGGTTAGCCAAAAATCCCTGTAAGACAACAAACCCATATATTATAAACAGATGTGTAACAAAACAAAGTGCTGTTTCATTCACTGTTCCACTTCAACACCAGTTTACTTACTTACCTAGACATTTTTCATCTAAAAAGATACAAGAGAGCTTTAACAAACCTACATAAATTAAACAAGATTACCGAAAAGTGGTATCACCACAAGCACTTTATTTCCCATCTTATTAAAAGCCTATTAATTACCATTAAGGGAGGGGGGTGGGGACTGCTGTTCTTTAGAGTAAGCTTATATTAATTAATGTGTGCCCTTTTTGGCCTGAGTGCGGGTGGAGAGGGGGTTACCTGGGCAAAATTTAACATCCCATAGCATACAGGGCAACATACAGTATCTATAACTACCAGAACACAGCCTCCATCAGAATCTGGACTAGAAGGCAGTCCCTCTGAAACTGTTTTACGCTGTTGACTAATCTGCAGTAAAACTTATCTACAGTAAAGCTCACCACTCCTTTGTATCTGGTTATGAAGACTAACGATCAGTAGTTAGTACTTTCCAACTTTTCGTGGAACGTATTTTACATGTCATATCAAGGCATAATTTTTTTAATTTATCATGATGAAAAATATAATTTCAGAAATTCTAAGTTCAAACTGCATCCACTTTATCTTGCTGTATGAGAAAAGTATGATTATACAAATAAGTGCTTAATGTACAATTTCTTCCTAACAAACATTTAGAATGTTCGCTATAAGAATGATATGATTAGGACAGAGTAAAATAATCTGCCAGGTTTTTTTGTGCATTCGTGCACGTTCCTGCCACTAAAATATAAAATAACAGCACAAAATAGACTCATGTCGTTTATGTCTTACCAAGGCAAGAAAAGCTTTGCCAGGCAGTGTTGTGCTGCCTCCAGAACTGGAAGAAGTCACATAGCTGCACGGGTGCAGTGCTGCTGCTAGGTTTAGTCTACAAATGACACTAATGCTACTTCTACTTTGAGAAGTGACACATATACAGTGTCGCATAACATGTTTTATCACAGACTGCCTAGCAAATTCAGCTACTTATATATTCATTACAGACTTATCTATATCATTTAAGAACCTACTACTATCACAAGACAAGTTCTTTCTAGCAGATTTAAGTCTGAAACCATATAAAACCCACTACTCAGTGTTGCTCTACGTGAGAGTAGACGTGATATCTTTTATTAGACCAAATGAGTAATTAAAAAAAAGTTCTCTCTCAACTTTTTCTAAGAATTTTTTTTCTCCAACTACTCAGTTGGTCTAATAAAAGATATCATATGTACCCAAAGAAGCTTGCCTGCCTATGTGCTTAGACCAACACAACTACAACCAAAAACTCTGCTCTACGTAAGAAAATTGACTTTAATTTTCTTCTTTAACAATTTAGAAAGTTATGCATGAAATAATAATAAAGGCACAATGACTGAACAAGGTCATGTAGCCTCCTTGTCATATTTTATAATACATTTTCAATTACATCACCTTATGTTTTTTCTCCTGAGACACAGCCTTTCATTAGATTATGCACAAAAGACTATGCACAGGGTATGAATCAAAGTTGTACAGAATATGACACTATTTTGTTTTGGACATGTTTGTTGCAAAATAGGTAAAAAGTTAAGATTAAATAAGCAGAGTACTATAGGAAGGGGAAGGATGATTTCATGTTTTAGCCAGTTAATGCTAACCAACGATCTTGTGGCAGCTATACACGACAGACCTTTTGCTCCACTGCATGCTATTAGCATGCATCAGAGCAGACTTGATTAATCAAAGTTGCTGAAGCAGACTAATTACCACGTTGCAGCAGCCTCCCCATCGCATGTATTCAGCATCCCTGCACTTCAAAAAGGCAGCAAGGGCATTTTAATTAAAGCTTGTGGAATGAGCTTTAGTTAAAGTGCCCCTGCTGCCATTTTCAAGTGTGGGACGCTAAATACAAGACACTGTGGGTGGTATAATTAGAGGCTCTGAGCCGCTCTAATTAAAGCACCCCCCTCTGCACCCCAGGGAACACATATATAGATACCCTAAGATTTTATCCCTGCTTCTGTCACACAGGTCTACATCACATTGGCCAAGTCACTTATTTTCACCAGTAATCACTCATTTTGTGTTCCTTATTTTACAGTTCCACAATATAATATTAGTTTTGTAGAAATGTTGTACACTCACAGTTCCCATTAACTTTACATTCAGACATGTATAGAACATATGAAAAGCTATTCAAATCCAAAGTACTCTGAAAAATGAGGTTCTGGTATTGCAACTTACACAGACAAAATTAAACAACACCAGACCCCTTTTTGGTTTCAGTCCGTCTCTCATTCCCAACTGGAAAATGGATGTAATAAATCCAATTTTTATTGTGGGATGCCATAAAGATAAATTTGTTTAATGTACCAATAATTAGGGGACATGGAATCACAGAACAGCCATGTAGAAATTCTGCATTCAGTGCTTTTCACTGGAGTGCAAAGTGCAAGGGGGTAGGAGAGGATAAAAGGATATAACATGAGAGGATAAATTAAATACTAAATGGATACCCATTCAGTGACTTCCATCTACCCGTGTACAGAAAAACCAAGGGCTGGCCTGGGGGACAGGGAAAAGTGAGGACAAAAATTGGTACTTATTTTAAAGTAGAGTTCCCCCCCCACCACCAAGATTTTAGTGTTTGGCTTTGTTAAAGCAACCAGAGGTGTAGCCTATGACTAAGATTAAGTAAAAGGAGTTAATGCAAATTAGGTTCAGGATGTTTTATGCAAGTCACAAAATGGCATGGAAGACCCTGCCTCAAGTAACTTATAATTTGTGGTCATAAAAAGTGATAGGCTTGTGGAAAAAAAAAGTCTCCTCCATTTAACAATGAAACAAGATGTTTACAATAAAAGTTGTAGTCACTGGCTGCCACATGTCTAATCCTGATCAACAGGCAGGATTTTATGAACGTCACATCAGAGATTAATTTAAGAAAGGATCTGCAGGTGAACAAACATGATAATAAAGCATATTGCAAACAATAAATCAAATAGTAAAAAGAAAGCCTGCCATTCTGATAAAAACAGTATAAATAAAGCAGTGGCAAAAGCAGAACAGATTAACTGTAGGTGATCCTTTGCAAAAAACTGATTTGGTGTTTCTATAAAAGTACACTTGCTATGTAATGCCACCTACTGACCACAACTAGGCATACAAAGCTTATTAGTTCCTCCTTTCATTTTTAAAAAGCATTCTAAAAATGTGTGCAAGAGTTCTACCAATTTAAAGGCCTGGGACTATTTAATTATCAGACTTACCTGAGAAGCAGGCTCCTGTTAAGGGCTCAGCATACACAAATGGAGAAAAGAACCCCTCATACAGACTGTGGAGCAACATGAAAAGCTTTTGCCATCTAGTCTGGTCAAGGAGATAACTTTGCTTAGTAAACTCTGTTTTTAAGCTCAAAAGGTAATTAGGCTCATTAAGACCGGGCATCGCTTTAGTCTTTCCTGGGCTATGGAAACTCAATATACTATTACAAAGAACATTTACTCTTTTCCTTTTTTTGGCACTTGGATTTAACACTGTGCTTTTTGATTTCTTCATGAAAAATAAGAAGATGAAAAACACTGACACTTCAGTTTTGCTGTCTTTACCATCTTGTTATCAGGGACTATGAAAAATAATACAAAGTGAACAGAACAAGGGTGGAATTTTCTAAAAGTATGTGCCAAAGCCACCTAACCCCTACTGAAAGTCAAAGGGAGCTAAGCTTAGATCCGCTTAAGGAGCTGAGTGTGGTAACGCCAAATATCAGCATATCTAACTTTTAAGCACCAAGCACCCAGAGTTGAACTCTGAAATGCCAGTTCAGTGATTCTCAAATAGGGTGCCAAGGTACTCAGGGGTGCTGCCATATCCTTTGAAGGGTGCCAGGAGTTGTGAGGAAAAAGCTGACATGTGAGAAGATAAACAGAGAAGGCAGCCTTAGCCTTGCCCTTGCCTGGACAATTCCCCACGCTTACTGCCTAGCCCTTGTGTAAAGAAATAAGCACTGTAATATATACATTAGTTTTTGAAATGAAGTGCCATTCAGTTTGCAAATTATGGAGGCATGCCTTGAGTCGAAAAAGATTGAAAACTGCTGAACATTTAAATTCTCTGACACCTAATATGGCACCTAGGAATAGCATTCACAACACCCCAAATGCTAAGCAGATACTCGCCTGTAACCCTGAGTCAGGAATCTGTATGATCCTTGGATAAGTAACCCAATATCTCTACCTAGGACACAAACACCCTTTGGGCACAGGGGGCCAATGTACTTATTTCTTTTAACAAGACAGTCAAAATTAAAGGATGTGGTGGTAGTGGTGGTGATGATGTTACCTACCTTATTACATAAGCCTAGAGAGTGGAACACTCACCCAGGACATGGGAGACTTGAATTGAATCACTTCCTCATTTTGAAGGTATTCAAGCCCAGATTTCCCAAGTCAAGAGAGTTCTCTAATCAATAGAGTTAGAGGCTATGGATGGGCTTCAACATCTATCTTGTTGGAGCTGAGATACCGGGCAGCCAAGAATGCAAGATTCCTCAGGAAAAAAGGATGAACTGTGATCCCAGAACCCAGGGAGGAGGGCAGCCCCTTGATGGGGAAACATATGAATTCTAGCCTCTATTTCAAGAGCTGTTCATGCCTCCAGCCTTGTGGTTTAGGTACTTTCCTGAGACACGTGGGGCTGAATTCCTCCAGGTTGAGGAAAGCAGTGTTTTCCATAAAAACAATCACTAGAGTCTTTAATCCTATTTAAAGAGGTTAAGGCAACTGTACGACAGAGGGAAAGAAAACAAGCAATACTACTAAATTTCAAATATGTTAATTGCTCTTTCTATGCACTTAACATTCATTTTTTAATGGTGGTTAAAAACTGAAGCAAGCCAGCTACAAGTGGAGACAACTGCACACCACATATAACTGTAAAACCTTATTAAATTGACCTCTGTTGAACCAGGCTTCCATTAGACAACACAAAACTCTACTTATATATCATCTGCATGAGTCAAGCCGAGTGAGGGCAAAAGGGTCTGCCCATTCCCTGCTTCTGTGCATGCACGCGCGTGTGCATGCATGCACGCACACAATTTAACACTTTGTATGTGCGTAGTTAATTTGAAGTTAGGCTGAAGGCAAAGTAGGTGTCACCTTGTGTTAAGAGGGTCCATTATTCCATATTATTGTACCTTTCAAATTTCAGTTTAGGGAGTTTAACTTCAGGCTTTTGCTTTGGTTACAAACTAAATTTTCTGGAATTGTCATTTGTAATTTAAAATTTCAAATACTATACACCGAACTAGGACAGCGTTGGCTTGAAGGCTGAACTAGTTTGTATCAAACCACCCTCTGCAGAAAAATCAAAATCAAACTTAATAATGACAAAAATATTATTGCAGTATTACATTTTGTTGGATTCCAAAACTCTTATCAAATACCAAAGAGATTTGCAAAACAAAACAAAACAAAACAAATAGTTAACTGGTTAATAAACCTATGGGATAGTTCATTCTGATTCTTTGCCAGTGGCTTTCCCTTCGACTTGAATAATCTATTTTTTATATCTGGGCTCAACTGGATTATTTACTATTATTTGCCTTCTCCATGGAGTGGTGAATTAACTAGTTTATTATAACTCTGCCAGAAATTTAGGTGCATGGTGTTTTAGACTACTATGCAGTTTGCCAGCTGAAGTGAAACTAACTTTGAATGTTCAAGACATTTATTTAAACACGGCTTTATATTTAGGATATAGTACTGTTCATTTCTTTCTGTAGAGGAAGTTTTAAAGATATGGAACTATATGAACTTGAGTACAACAGTTACTGATTTTGTCTCATCAATCATCACTGTAGCATTCCTAACACATTTAGAAGTTTTATAAGGAAAATACCTACAAGAGTACTAAAAGCATGACCCACTACCATTTTTACACTTGTAATGTTTAGTTACTAAAATTATACTTATTTCATACAACTTTCAAGCAAAATTAGGAGAAATTTCCCCCTAAAAGTTAATGTTTTGATTACATCTCATGTTCTAAAAAGCATAAAACGTAAGAAAAGCATACCCTCTACTTAAAATAACAATATTGTGGCGTTATCTCACTCAAATACAAAATTAAATTGAAAACGCGATTATAAAGATGTGGCTAGTCATTCTATCACAGATTAGTGCCTCTTTTTGTTTTGAGGGAGATGGATATATAAAGTCAGTTACCTGAGCAAGTTCTTTTTGTTCATTTACCAGTCTGCTGCAGCTAGCTATCATCTGGTCTAGCGCATACAGCCTGTCCTCCAGGCCTTTAATAGCCTTCATGTTCTGATTATCCAGTTTGGCAATAGTCTGTCGACATTCTGCCAAGAAGGGCTGAATGATCCTTGGATCAAGCTACAGAAAAAGAGAAGAAAAAAAAACATGTAACCAAATACATTTAGTGACTTTACTTTTAACCAATTCCCATTATGCAACAGGTTGCAACATCCTTATACAATTTACAAAAATTATACAATAAATTAGCCTATTACCAAAAAAACCTCTATAGAAGTTAACCTCTATAAAGGCTCTTTCTTTCACATATTTTAGTTTCTCCATTTCCAAGGTTTAGGGTGGTGGTTTTCTCCCTTGATTGTATTCTTAGAATTACTTTAAAGATATAGCAGGACATAACTAGGTGAAACTGTGGGGGAAGAACCCCACAGAAAGGACTAGGAGGAAACATAGACTAGCCCTGGCCCCACTGGAGAGGAGTGGGGGGGAAGGTGGAGAAGGAGGGGACATGGCTTGGCATCACAGAAAGAGGGAGGAAGGTGGTGGCATGGCCCAGACCCACAGAGGGGAGGAGAGGGGGCCGTGGCCCAAACTCACGTGGGGAGTGGGGAGAAGGCAGTGTAAAGGGGGACATGGCTCAGCCCCATGAGAAGAGAGAGGGCAGAGCTCAGCCCCATGGAGGGAAGGAGGGACGGCACGCACTGGCTTGATAGATGGTTATGACCTAGCACTGGGGGCAGGGGAACAGGGTTGCCCAGCCCCAGGGCAAGGGAGAAAGGATGGGGGCATAGTCCAGCACCTAAGTAGGGGTATGACTTGGGGGTTGAGGAGAAAGGGTTATGGACCTACCCCAACATGGGGAAGGAACAGGGCATGCCCCATGGCCATGGAAGAGGGTGGGGATAAGGAAGAGGGTATGGCCCAGCCCCATGACAGTGTGGGGAGAGGTAGGAGGGAGTGTAGAACAGGCCCTAGCTCCATGATGGGGGGAAGGGGGACCATGGCCCAGCTCCTGGCTCCACAGGGTAGTAGAGAAGGGGATCTGGCTTGGTCCCAGCCCCACAGGAGGGAGAGGCAGGGGATAGAATGGCACAGGCCGACCCTGGCCCCATTAAACAGTGTAGGGGGGTGTATCCCAGCCTCAGAGTGGGGGTGGAAGGTGGGAAGCATGGACAGGCTCCAGAGCCATTGGAGGGGTGGGGGGGACAAAGGAGTGTGTTCTGATCTCACTGGGGACAAAGAGGGGGGAAGGAGAAGGGCATGGCCTTCCTACAGCCCCATTGGCAGGGGCAAAGAATTCAGAAGCAAGGGAGGGCAGTGGTACTGCCACTGCTCCCCTATCATATTTCTCCAAGGTGTTGTGAGTCCAGCAGGTTAGATGCCAGGGCCTTGCAGGCCACATCCAACACATGGAGTCCTGCCATCCAGCCCTCAGTGACGCCCCCAGCTGCAACTGACCCACACAGAAAGTGACATGTGCCTCTGATACAGGTCCAGTCAGTAAGTTAGCTCCTGCCTATAGATCCTCTCTTTTTCCTTTTCCCCCAGAATACCTGATCTAATGTCTACTCCAGCCAATCTGGGACCCACACTGCATGCAGCATGGATCCCAGGGGGCTGGAACAGGTGCCATAAAGTACAGTCCAGACAATCACAGCTGTGCTGTGTGTGTTGCCCAGCCTAGCAAGACTGCACCATGGGTACCACCTGCTCTGGGAAATGCACTGTACACAGAACCCACTCCAGCTAGTTTCCAACAATGGTTCCAAACTGGCTGGAGAAGTCGCTGCATGCAGTGCGGTCCAGGACCTGCAGGGTAATGTGCAACACAATATGTCAGAGCAGCCACTCTGTACAGCGTGGTGGCTGCTCTGGCTGGACTGTGCAGCATATGGCACTGATTTCAGACATCCAAAATCTGCACTGCAAGCAGTTTGGGTCCAAGACAACATGGAGCAGCAGCCAGATCAGGTTTTCTAGGAGAGGGAGGGAGAGGGGGACGACAGGTCCGTGGGCCCAAGCTGGATTATGGACCAGCCCCCAGCCACTTACCTGGCCTGTAGGGCTGGATCAGTTTGACACCCCCCAAATTGATGTTTCATCCTTTTGGGTGGAAGGAATCTTTTCTTCCAATGTTTCTTTCCTGCACAAACTACTCCAAATTTGTTCTCGGCCTCCCATGAACCCCTAGAACTCCTTTCCAGCCTTTTACCATGGGTCATATTTATTAGCACTTGGCTCCTCCTCCCCAACCAGTAGACAGTCTTGTGGCAGTGATCTTCAAAAGTGCTTCCATTTTCCTCTTAGTTAGGCAGCAATAGCAGCAGCATCTAACAGAAGCAACTACTTTAGGCACTACCCACTGTTTTTACACGAATCTGTATTTTCCCAGCTCTCTCTCTCTGATAGCAGCAGGAAGCGAGGAGTTAGAATTAGAATAAAAGATGTGACCTAGCAGCTCTTCTGGGATCACCAATAGCCACAGACCAGAGCTTCTGAACTGCTGCTTTATGCCGAATTCAGATGACAAAGAATGCCATAAGAACAAAGAGATTAGAGCAAGATAAGCAATTGTGTATTATTTGCACAGGTCACATTTCTAAATAGCAGAGAAAAATTAATAGTCATGTAATTTCAATTGATTTTGCTAAAATGCCATTTCTAGATAAATATAATATCAGAAGAGCAATTCTACCACAAAGTATTTAGATTATTTTGGTTACTTTAGTTCAGATTAGAAAAATTTAAATTGAGCCAAAGACAATTTGCCGTCTTCAGAATTGCTGAAGCCCAACTCTATTAACATTTTCCTAAACATGAGCAAGTACTATTATGTTGTTTTTTACTGGAGGACAAAACAGATTAAACCTAAGAGGCACCTGCATTTGTTCTGGTTATGCCCAGCATTAGTCTAAAACTTATATAATGGAATGAAAGCTTTCAAAAATAGCAACATTATTTTCATGACAGGAAGCACTAACTTAAATTGTACAGGAATAGCTTCAGTTTAGCTGCTGTCATGTAATATTCACCACGTACAATCGCACTGAATTTAGAGAATGACAGACTTCAGCATACGAGCATTACATTTCTACCAGAAGAAACCAGAAGTGTACAAAACATTCCCAGAGTTTCTCTCAGACTAAAAATGGTGGTTCAAGGAAAAACAATTAATCCCACTGCAACTCAGTAAAAGTGGCTTTCAGGGGAGTTTCTCCCAGGAAAACAAATGCATGTACACTTAACCTTCCAAGAGAAGTTGTAGCACCATCCTACAGCATCCACTGCTCTTGCCCGGCCTCCCCAAGCTGCCTGGAAAATTCCAGATCCA